CAAGACTCAACAGACCCAGATGAGGCATATGAAGCCTTTATTTATACCTTGATAATAAACAACTAGAGAAGATAAACCGTGGATTACTAGAGGAATATTAAAATTCTGTAAGAAGAAAAATTGTCTTTTAGAAAATTTATAAAAAGCAGAACCAAAGATGATGAACAGAGATATAAAACATACAAAAACAAACAAGTAAAAATGATAAAATGCAGCAAAAGAAAATACTTTTGTAACCTATTAGAACAACATAAAAATAATGTACAAGGAACATGGAAAGTATTAAATAGTATTATTAAAAAAGACATGAAAAAGAAAGAAAAGGAAGGAGTATCCAATATATTTTTTGGACAAAGACCAAACAATAAATAATACAAAGGAAAAAACTAATTTATTTAACAATTTCTTTGTGAATGTTGGACCCACGCTAGTGAATGAAATTGCTCAATATGTACCTGTCTGGTCTTTGTCCGTGCGCTCTGTCATGCAAACGGAGCAGAAACGCAGCCTCTTCCACATACTGTATAGTTCCAAATCAGCTCCCGTTAGAAGCTACCAAACTCTTCCACGTGTTCTCTATTTAAATACAGTTACGTGACGTGTTACACTACAAAGTATAGTAACACAGAAATGTAACATGTCAATTTTCTCAGCGGATAAAAAGGGGTACTATATTGTGAGGCGTTATAATACGAGGATAATAATACGAGGAGCGCTACGTCAGCGCACTAACTCCTATAGACTTCTCTCCCACTCACGCCGCTTCTATTGACGGAAGAGAAGTCTTCAGAGTAAGATGTCTGATGTGTTTATACTGTGCTGCTTTTTTGTTAGTGCTTAAAGGCGCTATACCCGTTTCTGCAAGGTTTGAATGTTTAGCACTTAGCATGTTTATGGAGCCACGCTCCATAAACAAATACATATCAATCAATCAACGCCATTAAATGTTCATCGGACAATACAGTATACATATACATCCTTAACACACATTCAGAATTTGTTGGTAACGTTTTCATGACAAAATTACTATTTTTAGAGTCTGTAACTCTAAATGAATTACAAATTTTAGGAAATGTGTTAAATTGACCTCCTGGCCTTAAATGTTGATATAAAATAAGTAATTTAATTAATTCTAATATTACAGACAAGTCCCGCCTTCCCTTCTCTTAGCTATAGCTCAGAATCCACGGTGCCGTCCACGTTAACCAATCGAGTCATGCCAAGGGCTGTCAATCATCGGCGCTGATGCTCATAGCTCCGCGCATGCTCAGTTGTTTGTTTTCACGGAACCTCCGAATCAAGCCTTCATTAGGCTCTGGAACTACATGAAAACTGAACAAAGAATTCTGAACATCTGCGCTGAGGTACTTATGTATATACTGAACCTATATCCATAATCAGATCCTCTGCACATGTGTCCTATAATGTGCAATTCATGATAATAGCTTGTTCCGGGTTTGCCGCGATCGCATTTTTTGCGCATAAAAACATTATTTTTTTCATTAAAACGTTAACAAATAATTCTGAAAACCTCCATGCATGTGTATTAATAATGTATATGTATAATGTGTTCTCTGATTAACATTTAAAAGTGTTACGGAAACGTAGGTGTAGACCAATCAGAAAGGAAGGGGGAGGGAGCTTGCGTCGTTTTTTTTTCAAATCAAGTACCTCTCTGTCTCTCTTTCTGACAAACTCCAGACCAGGGGTGCTCACACTTTTTCAGCATGCGAGCTACTTATAAAAGGATCAAGTCAAAATGATCTACCTACTACAAAAATGCAAATCATATATTTATTTCAAAAAATATTCTTTATACCTACAATGTATGTTTATGTACATGCAAAACCGCATGAGCCAATATAGCACAACACAACACAATTACCTATGTACATTTTTTGTCATTACCCGAGTTTACTCTTATGACTTGCAGTGAATTGAATCGGCCAGGGATGCATAGTCCGGAAAATTGGTGGTAACTCGCTGACAAGTTTGTCGTGGTTTAGCTTTCCTGCACTGAGCGCGGTTGTTTGCGCATGTGCAGTCACCTAAGTGTCAGTAAAACATTACTGAGTAAAACACAGATGTCATTTGACTGTGGTGCCATGTCCATGTGCCATGCCTGTTTTTTTTAAATCAAAATATTTCCCCTCCTCAGTTTATAAAATAATTTGCATCCACACATCTGCGTTATCAATCACATTCGTAACATTTCAAACATGTGCGTCTCTTACGTCCTGTCCTGCGTTGGGGAAAAACACAGAAGTGGGCGGAGCTTTGATGCAGACGCCGGTAACGGCACTTTTACACTCATAGAAGACACTCAGAGTAAAGAGTAAGACGTATGTTTACAAGCACTGACCCCGTCCTCAGCCCTGGTTTAGTCCTGGTTTAGTCCTGGTTTGGTTGTTTTCGAGCGTGAGTCCCCGCGATCACTTTGTTGCTCTCTGATGTGGAGCGAGGATGTTCGCTGCTGCGAGCATCTCACAGCGAACAGTTTTTAAGGTAGTATGATCCATGCTTCAGTGATCAGAGGAATTTAGGGGGGTACTGTGGCGTGCGAGAACGCAAAACTCCGGTTATCTCTGTCTACACACAAATGCATTAACGGAGTTTTCAAAAATCTCCACTTTGCCCGGAGTTTTTTGTATATATTCGTTCAGAATGTGTAATTTTTTATTTATTTAATGCGATCTACCAATACTACCTTTGCGATCGACTGGTAGATCGCGATCGACGTATTGAGCACCCCTGCTCCAGACAATCACTTCAATGAATTTAAGTTGTCTATTCCTCTAACCTGTGTGTGACGTCATAGCGGGTAATGCCCATACATTGAAAGCCATGGATCTATGCCACAGATACTCTCCTATCCTCTCTTCTCTCCACTGATGTCCGACACAATACTGCACTCTACAGGTGACAATTGCTCATTACACATATATTGCCGTTTTGAGAGTGAAATTGTGACTGAGCGTTGAAACGCACTCGCTCTGACGTCACCAAGGACTGTGAATTTGTTTCGTTTCTTAGGGCGTTGCTATGGGGTTATTTCGATTTGGGGGGATCAGACAAAAAAAAAAAAACTGCTTTTGAAACCTTTAGTAGTTCTCTTCTAATATAAAATGGTATTAAAACTGTATTTCTAAATCAATCAAATCCTGCATAAGGCCTTTAAGAGGTTTGTCTCTCTTTCAGAAACCAAATGTGAGAACCAGTTTAAAAAGTAGATGCATCTCTGTCAGGGGGGTTCATCTTTGGAATGGCCTGGATGAACCACTCAAATGTTCCACCTCAAATCACACATTTAAAAAACGCTTTAAGGCGTTAAAGAAAAATATAAATCACTAGAATAATAATGATAATAATAATGATAATGGTAATGATAATAAAGATAATAATACATGAATTTACATATTATATCAATAGTAGATATTGAAAATATTCTCAAAAAAACAAAAAGAAGAGATATATATTAAAACTATACATATTGTATAATATAGTATTAAACATATCTGTGTATATTGTGTATATTTATGTGTATACACGTTATGTGTACACTGTATATGTGGATGTGTGTTTGCAGGTACAGGTATAGGTGTATGTATATAGTTTGTATGAGTGTGTATGTGTATGTATATATATATATATATATATATGTATATGTGTGTGTGTATGTATGTGTATGTATATATAGATAGATATATATAATATACATAAAAGAAAGACGAAAAAAAAAAAATCAAGTCGTATTCTGTGTTCATGTATATAATGTAATTACAAGGAATATTTGTTTGATTAAATCAGTACTAATTATTTATTTTCTTACAATGAAAATTGTATTTGGAAATACTGTGATAGATCTGTGGATCTGCTACATTGTATGTAATTTTGTTACATTTGTTATAAGTAAGAAATGTAATTTTGTTATTTGTTAAACTTCAGCCTAACCCTTTCGGTCTGTAAATAATTTATGAAGATGTAAGGAGAAGAATAAACTCTAGGATAGCATAGATAGCATAGATTCAATAAACAATATCTGTCTTCAGGACTTTTCTAGAGTTTAGACCTCTACAAAAGTCCTCCATCTACGCACCTCCATGAAACCAGCGGTCTGAACACAGCTAAAGGCACACGGATGCTTCGCTCGTACAGGATCGCTCATAAACTTGAGTTCTGTTAATTTTTCATTGCCAGATAAGATTGTTGCATTAGCCACAGGAATTGCAAGCGTGTCTTCTTCTGTAGCTTCGCGGCCACAGCCAGGAGAGAGCGACGGGTTTATTAATAGATGCGTCAATTTATGTCCATCCATCCATCCATTTTCTACCCTTTAATCCATTTCTGGGTCAGGGGGGTGGCAATCAGAGATGCCACCCAAGTCTCATAGCACCAGCCCCTCACTGACCCTCTGCAGGTGGTGAGTCCACAGGAGGACGGCTGCTCTGAGTGTGAGCATAGCCTTGATCTTTTAGTGGGGGCTTTGGGGCAAAGTGGGGTTAAGTGTCTTGCCCAAGGACACAACGACAGCAGTCATCAGTGGGAGTCGGTGGAGAAGGTGTAGAGGTGAGAATTGAACCCACGACCTTCAGGCCTGAAGGCCAATGCTCTACCAACTGAGCTACTGTCGCCCCATTAACACAAAAATTGACTGTCGTCAATTTATGTTAACGTGTTAAAATTAACGCATATCGTTAACGCGCTAATTTTCCCAGCCCTAAAATAAACATTACTTACTTACTCTCTGGTCTCTCTCTGCTCTCTCTGGTCTCACTCCCTGGTCTCTCTGGTCCTGAGTACACTGTGCTATGACTTTAGAACACTTATTTTGAAAATTAGAAGTTTGTTTTCACCCTTTTTTGACACTTTGCGGTGGTGAAAATGTGACATGATTCCAAATAACTTGTTTCTGTTTTCAACTGTTATCCTGGACAGGGCATTTATGTGTTTGTGACAGATATCACTACTGCTTTATCCCGGTTTCCTGGAGCCTTCCTCACCGGGTCATGTAGCTGAGGCAGTCCTGGGTCCCGACTGTGGTCTGGCCCTGGATCTCCTCCTGCTTCTGTTTGCCGAGTTCCCCCAGAACCGGACTCACTCCCAGGATCAGCAGAGCACAGCGGTGGACCACAGAGTTACAGGCTGCAGTGTACAGGTCATGTCCCTTCACCAGAGACACGCTTCCACGTCTGCCCTCCTGAGGGACACAACACCATGTAACAATCAGAGACCAGAGAGAGAGCAGAGAGAGACCAGAGAGACAGAGACAGAGACAGAGAGAGGGACCAACGAGAGAGGAACCAAAAAGAGACCAGAGAGAGAGACCAGAGACTATAGACAAGCGTGCGAGACCAGAATGAGGGACCAGAGTGAGTCACCAGAGTAAGAGCAGAGAGAGATCAGGGCTGCACAGTTTTAAAGAAATGTTGAGTGTTGAAAAGAGAATTCAACACTCAATGTTTTTTTCAGGTCCATGTTTACACTAAAATTTGGAGTTGTAATTCTTTATTTGACAATGTTTCAGTGGTTGAAATGAACTAAGGTATGCACATGCACAGCCTAAAGCCCAGTTAAAGGCTCCGGTTTCTCTGCTTGTACGCCACACTTTTCATTCTTTCATTCTCATTAATTCATTTGTCAGCGCTCCGCGCACACACACACACACACACACACTCACGTGTCCCTCTAAGCTGCTGCACATTGGAGAAAGACACATCTCACACTTGTTTACCCATGCAAAGAACACTGATGCAAAGAACGCAGAGATAAGATTAACAGTTTCTTTAGGCCTTTATTAGCCTATCCGTTTGATCTTTGAAGTTTTCTTTTTGACCTTCTGGAGCTCCATACCTGGGACGTGCAGGTCTCATCCTCTCCTCCGGTCGTCCCGGACCGTGAGGCCGCGGTGGAGCCAAGACCTGTGCTGCTGCTGGCCCGTTCACGACCGCGGCTTCGAGCCACTTCCCGAGCTGAGAGGAAACATTGGAAGATCTCTGTGTGGGCCAGTCACACCAAACCAGGATTAGTCCACAATACACACACAGAGCAAAGTTTCAGCCACAGTAGGGGATGCACAAAGAGGCCTCTGCTCTGTGTTTCTGTCGTCTGTGGCCTCTGTCGTCTGTGGCCTCTGTCGTCTGTTCTGTCGTATGTGGCCTCTGCTTCTGTGGACTCGCTCTATGGACTCGCTCTATGGACTCTCTCTCTGAACCCGCTCTATGGTCTCTCTTCCACCACTCAAACTGTGACTCAGTGATACACATTTTCCACTTCTACATATTTGTAAAAGTAAGAGGCTTTACGTGGAGCCTCACTGTACTCACTTCCGGCCGTCATAACCTCGTGCTCGCGCTCCTCCTCCTCCTCCTCATCTTGCTGTCCCTCTTCTCGCTCACGGTCTGCACGCTCCTCAAGCTCTGCTTCCTCGTCGATTGTGCGTGTGAATGAGTGCTCCTGCGGGTCCAGGTCCAGAGAGTCCTGGTTCTCCGAAATCTGTACAGACACACAAAGACTGGGGTCTTGTACTATACTTCCTTTGTGTCAGAGTTTGAAAAAACCTCACTGACACTGACCCTTCTTTCCCGGGAGGAAGATCTTGTCTGAATGAAGTCCATGTTCTTACAGGCAAGAAGTCTGTTCCGGACTTTATACACGGTGCGGTACACCTCCGCCAACAACTTGGACGGCTGGTACCTGCACAACAAGAACCAGAAACATCACGAAATAAGCCAGCTAGAGCCTTATACAGGCACTTGTTCCACGGATTTAGCTTTGTGATATTGCGAAGACAGTTGCTATGGGACTTCTCCCCTGAATGAAGGCATATAATTGGTCAATCCTTATATGGCTAATATCTGGATCTGTGATATTGTCTTTGAAAATTACAAACGTGTGACAGAAGGCCAAAAATTAGATTTTATTAATCAGATATATTCAATGATCGTCGTGTCCTTGGACAAGACCATTAACCCCACGTTGCCTGAAGCCCCCGCTGAAAGACCAAGGCCATGTCTTCGATGGCGGAGAAGCCATCATTCTGTGGACCCACCACCTGAAGGAGGAAAAACGAGGGACTGGCGCTATGAGACTTGGGTGGCAGCTCTGATTGCCACCCCTCCGACCAAGAAATGGAATAATAAAGGGGATGAAAATGAAATGAAAGATATATTCATATTTTTCATTTATCCAAACACCTCTTCTGTCCATTAGTAGTTGCTAGAAGATAACCATTTTATACATTAGTCAAATTTTCTATAGTGGCTATTGGGGCCGGGACTTTAACGCGTTAATTAAGATTAATTAATTACACAAAAATCAGCACGTTAATCGTATCTATTTTTGCACCGCGGAACGTTCCTCACTGGATGAGTTTCAGACCGACCGATTGTACTGGAGCACCAACTGGAGCTCAGTGACTTTTTTTGTTCAAAAGTACATTATTACAAGCATAGGCCAACTTTAGCAGTGTCTAAATCCGAGTGAGTTATAGACAGGAATGAGCGCTTCTGTGTGTGAGCTTAGGCGGAGGAGGAGGTAAGTAAGTAAGTAAGTAAGTAAGTAAGTTTTTATTTATATACCGCCTTTTCACTGCAGAATTGAGTCTCAAAGCGGTTTACAATTGTTCCAGGACCTTCTTGCTGAGAGGCGAGAGTGCTATCCACTCAGCCACCGTGCCGCCCATAGGTGTGAGGTGCGAGACATAGGTGTGTGAGCTGCTATTGCTGATGTTTAGTCCGAATGTACGCATCATAAACGTATTATAAAAGCTTTAGCAAACAGCGCATACCCAGCTTTACTGCTCACTGCGAATACAGTGGATTTTGGGCTTAAATGTGTGGTGTTCAGAGACTGTGGAGGCAATGACAGAAACCTTATTTGATGGGAAAGAAGTCCGTCTGATCCCCTTATCATCCACAATGAACATGTGTTGCTTATGTATTCAGTCATTATTCAATGGTAAACTAAAAATCCATGTGAAAAAAAAAACATTTCTCACTGTTCTCAGGTCAAATGTTTATTTGCGATTAAAATTGCAATTAATTAATTACAAAGCATGTAATTAATTAGATAACATTTTTTAATTGATTCCCAGCCCTAGTGGCTATGTTTATTTGTGTCACAAATGTGATGCCTTTGACGGAATGAGTTATGTTTGTTACATATTTTCAGATCCAAAATTTAATAGATTCTTTTTTTTTTTTTACACAGTAAATATAGTACATATAGTACACCAATTAAATGTGCAAGACAATCAATTTTTATCTCAAGTTAAATTTTTAGAAAAAAATTTACCAAAATCATCACATCCGTTACACGTTTTTCTCAAGGGTCATTTAAATTAGTATTGATTATTTTTCAAATAGAATTTATTTTCAAATCAAGTGATATGTTGGCTTGCTTATGTTGGCTATATTGTGTTAGCCATGTTAATCTTGTGGGAGTTCATGTGCCGCTTTGTCACAGTGATGACCTTTTATTTTCTATGTAACTGGAATCACAGTCTCCCCCCTGGACTGCCACCTTAACGTGGTGGGGGAGTTTGAGGACTCGGGTGATCCTGGGAGCTAAGCTGTCTGGGGCTTCATGCCCCTGGTACGGCCTCCCATGGCAGACAGATCTCGGGTGACGAGTCAGACGAAGAGCAGTCTGAAGACACCATGGACCGCACAAAAATGAGAACAGTGACGTCGCCCGGCATGGCGCAGCCGGGGCCCCACCCTGGAGCAAGGCCTGGGGTCGGGGCTCGTATGCGAGCGCCTGGTGGCCGGGCCTTAGCCCACGGGGCCCGGCCGGGCTCAGCCCGAATGGACGGCGTGGGCAGTCCCTCCTGTGGGCCCACCACCCGCAGAGGGGTCAGTGGTGGCGAAGCGGCGCAGAGAGGACTGGGCAGCGGTCAAAGGCGGAGACCTCGGCGACCCAGTCCGCACGCGCAACATCTGGCTCTTTGGACGTGGAACGTCACCTCACTGGGGGGGAAAGAGCCCAAGCTCGTGGGGGAGGTTGAGAGATACCGACTAGAGATAGTCGGCCTCACCTCCACACACAGTTTGGGCTCTGGAACCCAACTCCTTGAGAGGGGTTGGACGCTCCACTTTTCTGGTGTTTCTCGCGGGGAGAGGCGGCGAGCGGGGGTGGCCATACTCATTGCCCCCCATCTCAGCCGCCACGTGTTGGAGTTCTCCCCGGTGAATGAGAGGGTCGCGTCCCTCCGCCTTCGGGTGGGGGACAAGTCTCTCACTGTTGTGACGGCCTACGGGCCCAACGGCAGTGCAGAGTGCCCGGCCTTCTTGGAGTCCTTGGGAGGGGTACTGGACGGTGCACCGACCGGGGACTCCGTTATTCTCCTGGGGGACTTCAACGCCCATGTGGGAAATGCCAGTGACACTTGGAGAGGGGTGATCGGGAAGAACAGCTCCCCTGATCTGAACCCGAGCGATGTTCAGTTGTTGGACTTCTGTGCTAGTCAGTTTGTCCATCACGAACACCATGTTCGAGCGCAAGGGTGTCCACCAGTGCACGTGGCACCAGGACACCCTAGGCCGGAGGTCGATGATCGACTTTGTTGTCGTATCATCTGACCTTCGGCCACGTGTCTCGGACACTCGGGTGAGAGGGGCGGAGCTGTCAACCGATCACCACCTGGTCCTGAGTTGGATACGCTGGCAGGGGAGGAAGCCGGTCAGACCTGGCAGGCCCAAGCGTGTAGTGAGGGTCTGCTGGGAACGTCTCGCTGAGCCCCCTGTCAGACGGACTTTCAACTCACACCTCCGGGAGAGCTTCTCCCAGGTCCCGGCGGAGGAGGGGGATATCGAGTCTGAGTGGACCATGTTCTCTTCCTCTATCGCCGATGCGGCGGCTCGTAGCTGTGGTCATAAGGTCGCTGGTGCTGGTCCCGGCGGTAACCCCCGGACCCGGTAGTGGACACCGGCAGTAAGGGATGCCGTCAGGCTGAAGAAGGAGTCCTATCGAGCCATGATGGTTCGGGGGACTCCTGAGGCAGCTGTCCAGTATCGGCTGGCCAAGCGTGCCGCGGCCCGGGCTGTTGCAGAGGCAAACACCCGGGACTGGGAGGAGTTTGGAGAGTCCATGGAGCATGACTATCGGTCGGCCTCAAAGAGATTCTGGCAAACCGTCCGGCGCCTCAGGAGGGGGAAGCAGTTCTTTGCCAACACCGTGTATGGTGCGGGTGGAGAGCTGCTGACCTCGACTGGGGATATTGTCGGACGGTGGAAGGTTCTCCTCAATCCCCCCCCCGGGGGCAGAGGCTGAGGATGTTGGGGCAGATACTTCCATCTCCCTGGCAGAGGTCACCAGGGTGGTTGGCAGCCTCCATGGTGGCAAGGCGCCGGGAGTGGATGAGATCCGTCCTGACTATTTAAAGTCTCTGGATGTTGGGGACTGTCTTGGCTGACACGTCTCTGCAACATCGCGTGGCAATCGGGGGCGGTGACAATGGAGTGGCAGACCGGGGTGGTGGTCCCTCTCTACAAGAAGGGGGACCGGAGGGTGTGTTCCAATTATCGTGGGATCACACTCCTCAACCTCCCCAGTAAGGTCTACTGCAAAGTACTGGAGAGGTTACGGCCGATGGTCGAATCTCGGATTCAGGAGGAGCAGTGTGGTTTTTGTCCCGGCCGTGGAATAGTGGACCAGCTCTATACTCTCCATCGGATACTCGAGGGTTCATGGGAGTTTGCCCAACCTGTCCACATGTGCTTTGTGGATTTGGAGAAGGCGTTCGACCGTGTTCCCCAGGGTGTCCTTTGGGGGGTCCTCCGGGAGTATAGGGTCCGGGGTCCTCTGATGAGGGCCGTTCGGTCCCTGTATGACCGGAGTCAGAGCTGCGTTCGCATTGCCGGCAGTAAGTTGGACCTGTTTCCGGTGCATGTTGGCCTCCGCCAGGGCTGCCCTTTGTCACTGGTTCTGTTCACTGTATTCATGGACAGAATTTCTAGGCACAGCCAGTGGCCGGAAGGGGTCCGGTTTGGCGACCACAGGATTTTATCTCTGCTGTTTGCGGACGATGTTGTCCTGTTGGCTCCAACGAACCAGGACCTGCAACATGCACTGGGATGGTTTGGTTTTGTGAAGCCGCTGGGATGAGAATCAGCACCTCCAAATCTGAGGCCATGGTGCTCGACCGGAAAAGGGTGTCTTGCCGTCTCCGGGTGGGTGGAGAGGTTCTTCCTCAAGTGGAGGAGTTAAAGTATCTCGGGGTCTTGTTCACGAGTGAGGGAAGGATAGAGCACGAGATTGACAGGCAGATTGGTGCAGCGTGCGCAGTGATGCGGTCGCTGTATCGTACCGTCGTGGTAAAGGGGGAGTTGAGCCGAAAGGCAAAGCTCTCGATTTACCGGTCAATCTTCGTTCCCTCCCTCACCTATGGTCATGAGCTTTGGGTAATGACCGAAAGAACGAGATCGCAGATACAAGCGGTCGAAATGAGCTTCCTCCGCAGAGTGGCTGGGCGCTCCCTTAGAGATAGGGTGAAGAGCTCAGTCACACGGGAGGAGTAGAGCCAAGAGGCTCTACTCCGAGAAAACCAAAGGGGTTAATTATGTCAGCCCGGAAATCTTAGACCGAGATATTGTTCAAAATGTAAAAGGTGAATGGAAAGGCTGTGCTTCTCACCTTTAGAAAAGATACACTCCCGAAAAGGGTGACACTGGGGTACATGAGTTATCCTGTTAGAC